TATCACGGCGGGGGACACCAGAAATGGGCTTCACACATTGTACCCATGTTGGGAATCGAACCCGGGTCTTCGGCGTGACGAGCGAACGCTTTAACCACTAGGCTACCCGACCGCCCCCCTTGCATTTAAGAAACGACAAACTCTCATTCATTTCCATCGACTATAGATCTCATTGTGAACCGGAACCCATCTCTCGTCATCCGATGAAGGACTTAAGGATATAAAGAATCAGATGTAGCTCTTAATCAGGTACTTTACGCCAGATGAGTCAGATCTAGTGTTGGAAGTAGGTTCAGCTTTTCGAGTCTTGCACAAGATCTCGACTATAGAATCACAATTGTAATGCGGTCAGATCTAGTTAAAGAAATACCTTTAGGTCTCGCCCCTGTAACAGTACAAGTCTCCAGTGTCAGAATGTGAATAGATCTGGTTAGGACTGGCAAATACAGGAGCATACCGGTTCTATGATGTCAGAATGTAAATAGATCTGGTTAGGACTGTCAAATACAGGAGCATACCGGGTCTATAATGTCAGAATGTGAATAGATCTGGTTAGGGCTGTCAAATACAGGCGCATACAGGGTCTATAGTGTCAGAATGTGAATAGATCTGGTTAGGACTGGCAAATACAGGAGCATACCGGGTCTATAATGTCAGAATGTAAATAGATCTGGTTAGGACTGTCAAATACAGGAGCATACAGGGTCTATAGTGTCAGAATTTGAATAGATCTGGTCAGGAATGTCAAATACAGGAGCACACAGAGTCTATAGTGCCAGAATAAGAATAGATCTGGTTAGGACTGTCAAATACAGGACCACACCGGGTCTATAGTGTCAGAATGTGAATAGATCTGGTTAGGACTGTAAAATACAGGTGCACACCGGGTCTATAGTGTCAGAATGTAAATAGATCTGGTAAGGTCTGTCAAATACAGGAGCATTGTATTACCAAGTCTAGTGTAACTATGAGAGTAGATCTAGTGGGAGCTGTAAAATACTGGAGCATTCATGCATCTTTTGTAGCTCCTCCATCACATAAAGCCATTTGCAGCATACTCTGCTTCAAATGTAGCCCTAGTGTTATCACATCGTGGCATTAGCCACAGAAGGAGTTCCTAGTGTCGAACCCGGGGTCACATTCACCCAGTTGGGAAATGTTGGCCGAAACATGCAGTATTAAGATGAACTATATGTGAATTGTACAACTGTCCCCTGCCATGTCGAACATGTGTGATGTGAAATTGTTCCCATAATGTTGAACATGTACCATGACAAATGCCCTCGGTCGACCGATCCCCCAGATAGTTCCATGAATCGTTATCCTCGGTATGTACGACCAAAGCTCTGCCCCATGTTGACAAGACTGACTAGACAAACACGTCATGTCTCAGCTAGTGCTAATATGTACGATTGGGATAACCGTCCGAGGAGACACCTAATCTGTAGAACAAACAGTGAGGCACATTTACTCTTATCTAATCAGTCTTCAGCATGAAACTAGTCAGTTATTGCAGTGTGGAAACGAGCACTGCATCACAACAGTGAGAAAACCCAGTCTGGCATGAGTGAGTGAGTGGATTGAGTCTGACGCCACGGGGTTACAGATACACAGGCGTGATGGCTTAATGACAGAGGAAAGGTTGTAGGCTTTTTCCTTTTTGGCAAAATCCAAGATATAGTACTGGCAAACCAAGGACAACCATCCACCAAATAGTACTGGCAAACCAAAGACCACCATCCACCAAATAGTACTGGCAAACCAAAGACCACCATCCACCAAATAGTACTGGCAAACCAAAGACCACCATCCACCAAATAGTACTGGCAAACCAAGGACCACCATCCACCAAATAGTACTGGCAAACCAAAGACCACCATCCACCAAATAGTACTGGCAAACCAAGGACCACCATCCACCAAATAGAACTGGCAAACCAAGGACCACCATCCACCAAATAGTACTGGCAAACCAAGGACCAGCATCCACCAAATAGTACTGGCAAACCAAGGACCACCATCCACCAAATAGTACTGGCAAACCAAGGACCAGCATCCATCAAATAGTACTAGCAAACCAAGGACCACAATCCGCGATATAGTACTGGCAAACCAAGGACCACAATCCGTGATATAGTACTGGCAAACCAAGGACCACAATCCGCTATAAAGTACTGGCAAACCAAGGACCACAATCCGCGATATAGTACTGGCAAACCAAGGACCACAATCCGCGATATAGTACTGGCAAACCAAGGACCACAATCCGTGATATAGTACTGGCAAACCAAGGACCACAATCCGTGATATAGTACTGGCAAACCAAGGACCACAATCCGCTATATAGTACTGGCAAACCAAGGACCACAATCCGCGATATAGTACTGGCAAACCAAGGACCACAATCCGCGATATAGTACTGGCAAACCAAGGACCACAATCCGTGATATAGTACTGGCAAACCAAGGACCACAATCCGTGATATAGTACTGGCAAACCAAGGACCACAATCCGTGATATAGTACTGGCAAACCAAGGACCACAATCCGTGATATAGTACTGGCAAACCAAGGACCACAATCCGCTATATAGTACTGGCAAACCAAGGACCACAATCCGCTATATAGTACTGGCAAACCAAGGACCACAATCCGCGATATAGTACTGGCAAACCAAGGACCACAATCCGCGATATAGTACTGGCAAACCAAGGACCACAATCCGTGATATAGTACTGGCAAACCAAGGACCACAATCCGTGATATAGTACTGGCAAACCAAGGACCACAATCCGTGATATAGTACTGGCAAACCAAGGACCACAATCCGTGATATAGTACTGGCAAACCAAGGACCACAATCCGCTATATAGTACTGGCAAACCAAGGACCACAATCCGCGATATAGTACTGGCAAACCAAGGACCACAATCCGTGATATAGTACTGGCAAACCAAGGACCACAATCCGTGATATAGTACTGGCAAACCAGGGACCACAATCCGCCATATAGTACTGGCAAACCAAGGACCACAATCCATGATATAGTACTGGCAAACCAAGGACCACAATCCGTGATATAGTACTGGCAAACCAAGGACCACAATCCGCTATATAGTACTGGCAAACCAAGGACCACAATCCGTGATATAGTACTGGCAAACCAAGGACCACAATCCGCTATATAGTACTGGCAAACCAAGGACCACAATCCGTGATATAGTACTGGCAAACCAAGGACCACAATCCGCGATATAGTACTGGCAAACCAGGGACCACAATCCGTGATATAGTACTGGCAAACCAAGGACCACAATCCGCTATATAGTACTGGCAAACCAAGGACCACAATCCGTGATATAGTACTGGCAAACCAAGGACCACAATCCGTGATATAGTACTGGCAAACCAAGGACCACAATCCGTGATATAGTACTGGCAAACCAAGGACCACAATCCGTGATATAGTACTGGCAAACCAGGGACCACAATCTGCTATATAGTACTGGCAAACCAAGGACCACAATCTGCTATATAGTACTGGCAAACCACAATCCACTATATAGTACTGGCAAACCAAGGACCACAATCCGTGATATAGTACTGGCAAACCAGGGACCACAATCCGCCATATAGTACTGGCAAACCAAGGACCACAACCCATGATATAGTACTGGCAAACTAAGGACCACATTCTGATAGAATCTGGGGTCCGAAACCTCGACAAGCAGAAAAGTCAAGAACTAAAAGCCTTTGACAATTGGACCAATAGAGACATCCAAGGAGAGATCCAAGCAATATCACATGCCAACGCCAGAGAATAACCACCCTCGATTATCCGCTGAAACAGATTCCACTGGGCAAGATCACGATGATAACAATATGGATAACTGAAATCAGCGATTACACAAGGTGTTCAGAAACCTCGTCAGATGAATGCAGAAATCTTTGGTAGGGATTAGAAAAGAGATATGAAATCATGAAGAAACAAACATAAGTCAACCTATCCGCAAACCTGGACCCACCAGCCTCTACCCAACCGTACAATCTATACAAAATACAAGTGTGTTATTACCTCTAAACAGGAATTCGAAAAGTGACGGATCTAGATTCCATAATATAATATTCACTTAACCTGTTCAGGAACAGGCATGAGTACCAGTGAATGACAAGACGAGAGTAAGGAGTGACGTAATGGATCAACACAGGTTCTAGACATACACTACCGGTTCATATCCAGTAGGCACCTGATAGAGGGACGTCGTGTCTGGCCACAGATACAGCGTCATCAGCTGTGATCATCCATGGACGGACTGTATCATCTAGTATCAAACAACGAGAAGGAAGCAAAGATCATATTGCTTCATGTCAGGCCAGAATCAGCTCGCCGACAATAATAAGTCATTGGCAGTCTTGATATACAGATTATCATTGACATTACCCGTAACCGAATCGTCAAAAGATATCAAGATGTTGTTTGAGAATCATAGGCGTCATTTAAGTAAGTTGTCCAGGCAACCCTATGTATATCTCCTGTTTCAGCCCTATAATCTGTACACTAACACTTCGACTCTTGTGAAGACACGCCGACACTTTGTTAATAAACACATACCAATATATCCTTGAGCTACAGAACATTTGAAGTTGAATAAGCTTTTGAAAATCTTATGAACAATTTCCCCAACCTATATAGGAACCAGAACACCACGACCAGCCTGTATAAGAATCTAGCCAATATACACGGAAAGGTCACCCTAGTATCCAGAGAATTGCATTCATCAATTGTTTTGTTGTGAACAATTGTACCTTGTAATTAGATTGTCTCGCTCAGACAAGGTCTGGGAAAGTTTTCAAGATCGATACAAACTACGACGACAAGTTAATTACTTGTGAGAGGAAAACAATGATACGATGCATGGTGGGCGCGGATGAAGCAGTAACCTAACCTCCCTAGTCCCCATCCACAGCAAAACGCGAGTCGATACATCAAAGACAGCCTTACCTCGAGGAGTGGGAGAGAGATGGCTCAATCTTTGGTCGTGGTAGTGCCTGGTCCTCACTCGTTGCTTCAGCCCTCGGCGTTACACTTTCTGTTACACTAGCTGCCTCATATATTAGATACTGTAGTCCACATTGTCCATCGACCAATGGCGTGCTTCCATTTCCCGACCAAGGGATGGCACTTGTGGGGTAGAGGATAGACCCTCCCTTATCCAGTCGACAGCAACGTTAGGGATTCAATGTTACATGCAATTGTGCATAATTATCTTCGAACACAAACAGTTCCCGCTAACAACCATCCAAGCTTGCTGGCGATGCTTCGTGCGACTGAGGACGTTCCAGCAGCTAATGAGCTATCTCTAACAAACCAAACTGCCCGCCGATCGAGATCAGATATTCCAGTAGCGCTTGTTGCGGCAAGCGTTTAATTAGAAGTCTACTCCATTAAACAAGACTGGAATCAAATTGATGAACGTAGGTAGAAAGGGGTGAATTTGGGAGCGATCGACCCCAGCTTTCTATCTGATAGGCAGCGTGCTCTCTTCGGAACGAGGTGGCTGTCTTGTACACAGGGGCGCGGACACCAGCACTTCTTGGATTAGATTAAAGGCAGTTCGATTCAAGGATCTATCTGTGCTGCGGGAATTTGTGCCAATTACGGGCAAATGAAATGCACAAATATTGATCCCTCGCCCCTTCCGACTAAAGCTAAAACAATATGATGAACGTGAGTCCGAGATTCAACACGTCATGAAGTGGACGTGCCAGATCGGGCACAGTAAACACCACTTCCACAGCCAGCTTCCATGTGTGTTTCCATCTTCCTCTTTCATATCCTCCTCGCTGTAAGAACCTTAACATGTGACTCCCGCCTGAAACCTTTGTACCAATTATTGCATCGATTGCTGGGAGTTTCTCGGCGGTGTTTTAAAAGACTATGTAGAAAGCAATCATTCTATGTCATTACCACGCGGTGCCTTCTACTGTATGGACGTAATACATTTATCCTAACACACCGGGACATTTGGACTCATTCATAATACCACAGGGCCAAACTACTGGGGCATTTGTATGGTTGGGTTGGCGCTGTTGAATCCCTTCAGCACTAGCCTCACGATCAAAGCAACCAAACTCGGGTCTGAACGGGTTACTCCTGAGACATCGACTCTCATCAAACTCACAGTAAAGCCTATTTAATATCATGGCTGCTGCAAAGATCGATGGGTCGTACGGACCAGACAGAATTTCATTTCTGAGACATGTCGGAATATCGCATCTCTATCGTGAGCTGGAGGACAAGGGTTCTACACAAGAGACGCTTCACAAACTTTATCATTTCCCTCTTTCTCCCCGCCTTCGATAAATCATTCATTCTGTGTCCGCCTCTAACTTATGGCGCCTCGAATCAATATTAGATCGCATATCGCTATTTTTCTTGAATGCATGACAGAGGAGCAGGTCCTGAAGGTGAACGACTGAAAGACTACTCTGGCAGAGAGAGCCACGCAGCCAGCTTGCCGTTAAGTGTTGTAGTAATGTAACGAGGGAACATGTATGCGATTAACGATTAGAACTGTGGAAAAACGGTAAATGGTGTATTCATAGTACCACATTACCAACCCTGATTACCACTTACCGGCTGTGAGGACTAACAAGCCTACTAGGCTACGAGGTGGGGATTTGTGCTGCTCAAATAGAACTCATTTTTTAAAAATGTTCACAAACAATACAGAATCTACATGCACCTATTTCTACCGCCTTGGTCACATCCGTCCCGAAGATATTTGTTGATTTGAATCCGGTTGACCTTGATATTCAATAAATTAATTTTAGTATAGAAATTCTTCACTGTTTAAGTGGACCTCGACTGCACACACGACTTAAGTATATTTGATGATCTTTATAATGGATGTCTTGTGTTTCTTTGTGAAAGATGAAATCTCGATTGTAACCATTTGACATAATAAAGCTGCCTTAAATCAGGTTATAAATAAATGCGAGGCAGCTCATGTTATGGAACAGGGCACGTTAAGGTTGTGGTAGAACTGCACCTTGACCCGACCACATCTTCAGTGTAGGCTAGGCAACGTAGCTAGCGCCGTGTGTTCAATGCATATCACGACTTGATCATGCAATCGAACATAATAAACACCCATCCTGCATATTAAAGATTTATTTATATTTTCGTAAAATTGAAAGGTACAAGCTCTGATTACATTCGTTTACATTTTCTTTTTTTTCATAAGTAAACAAGGTGACAAAACCCTTTCCATAATCATAAAAAACTCTATCATATGCACGTGTTTATGAATCACTATCAACACCGAAATATGTAGTTAATTCCTTGCTCTGTGTAGCATATTGGGCGTTAAAAAAAGGGAATTCCGAACATGGTTTTCGGCTGAAATGAACTTCATAAGAATGCTTCGCAGCAGGACTTCGTCTGGACGCATATGGGTTTGACTGGGCGTGTTTAGTATTTAATTGAACATGAAATGCAGTCTTGAAAAAATAAACATGGAGCGTCCAGGCATAATATTTTTTTCTTTTCTGAAATGGAGAAACTCATCGGCTGCTAACTTCAACCTGATGTTCCACTTTTAATAACAGAAGTCACCTTTGTGAAATGCCAATTCTGACAGCAATATTGATTGTGTGATGTATTAGCGCATGTATCCAATGATGTAGTTTCACCGGCCTACCTGTGACGTTTTAAAGACATATACACTCAGGTACGTGTACGTACATTACAAATATCCATAAGCCGTAACATGACTATTTTCTGAAGCATCTGACGAAGCCAACAATAGATCGAAAGTGAAATACGAGCACGTGCAACGTCGTAGCATAGCAACAATTAGGATCACCTGCAGGGTCGAGCACCTGAGATATACCGTTATGATGTGATGATCAGGACCGCCATTATATCAGTGACAAAGAAGATAGAACACATGCCGGGGACATATTGTCAGGCTTCTGTAGGCGGACGGGACAAACGGGAAATACACATGTGTTACATGTCGTTGTCCGTAACCTTGAAACTGATACATTATACGCCTGTACAGTTTAAAGTCATTTAGAAGAATTGCTAGATGTTGCAATGGCGCCGAATTCGTTCCAACATTGAAATGAATCAAGCGGAATACACAGCGGTTCTAAACAATCAATAATGGCTGTTAATCACAACGGAGTGGTGTTTTTGTAATAATTTTCAAGTCCGAGGACCTATTAAGATGACTTAGCTGTTTTTATTTGGTATCCAGCATTCATTTCACTGCAATCAAGGGATCTTGTCAATCGTTCATTGAAGCTGAAAATCCCAAGTTAATCACGTTTCTATTTTAACCCACGAATTATCCCAGGACAATGATACCACCATCAATCGGCAGCCACTTGTACCAATGTACACTCTTAACTCTAACAAATTACAAAACATTGATTAACAGTTGCTACATGTGTACATAGATACCTGAACGTTGATGTATGTGAATGGGACAATCAGTGTAGTTTGTCGCTCAAGTTGTATTAGATAATATATCGACTTGCAAGATGTTCTTACTTCTAACATTTGATACCGTACTCCTGTACGTTTGATACTCGTGCTCCTTTACGTTTGATACCGCACTCCTGTACGTTTGATACTGTACTTCTGTACGTTTGATACCGCACTCCTGTACGTTTGATACTGTACTTCTGTACGTTTGATACCGTACTTCTGTACATTTGATACCGTACTCCGTAGTTTGATACAGTACTTCTGTATGTTTGATACCGCACTTCTGTACGTTTGATACCGTACTCCTGTACGTTTGATACCGTACTCCGTACGTTTGATACCGTACTTCTGTATGTTTGATACCGCACTTCTGTACGTTTGATACCGTACTCAGTATGTTTGATACCGTACTTCTGTATATTTGATACCGTACTCCTGTACGTTTGATACCGCACTTCTGTACGTTTGATACCGTACTTCTGTGTGTTTGATACCGCTCTTCGGTACGTTTGATACCGTACTTCTGTATGTTTGACACCGCTTTTTGTGGATGTCCATGATAAATTATAAACGTCTTCTAAACAAATACTCTCCATACATGTACCTATACCTAAGTATATATCAACTATCATGTACTCATTAAAGAACCCAGTGGTAATTCCTGATTGTTATTGGTCACAGCAACCTTTTGCTTGTCACAAGAGGCGACCAAATAGATCGGAAGGTCAGGATCAGTGACTTGGTTGTGGTCTGCCATTCGCACCGAATGCGTATGTAGCGGCCATACCATTTCCGTGTCCCGTGATGGGATTCGAACCACGGACCTTCTGATCAGAGGTCGGACGCCTTGTCCACATGACCAAAGAGGTTATCCCCGTCAGCAAGCTGACAAGGTAAGGATGTCATCTGTGGGATGACTCCACGCCCTGCTATACGTACACCGATGCCCATAACATCAACTACTGGATTGCCTGATCCAGACTCGATTATTTACAGACAATAGTGACATAGCTGAAATATTGAGTATGGCGTTAAACAACAAACAAACAAACAACCTAATTCAGATGTAAATGGCTCAGAGGCTAACGCTGAAAGGACAACAGTTCTGTATAATGACGGTATTGTGTCTCCCTGATTTACAACATAACTATAACACAAGCAGGTTCTCGTCAGCAGCGCGTTATTCTTCTTGTGTGATAAAATTAATCGATTTTCCCTTTTATTTGTGTAGAGATAAAAGAAACTCATAAAGTGTCCATTATATTACTCGCACAGTGGTAGGCCAAAACTCCATCCATGGGTTGCTTATATTAATGAAGAAAAGCTGTTAACGTAGGCCGATATCGACTTGGCAGGTCAGTTATGACCGCTGGTGAATATTTAACAGTATCGGTAATTAGGTGTCATGGGTTGGAGGAATAGGATGGCAGCGCACATGCGTTACCACATTTTCCTCACAACTAATTATAGCGATATTATTTGAGTTATTACGTTTAATCGTTCTGCAAGAGAAGTTATCTTTTCCAAATATGATTCCACATTATTGAAATGGGTCTAATTGAGTTTGAGTGAATGATTGAGTTATAGTGTGGCGGATTAATATGACCTGCATTCCGCACTATACAAGTGATCGATAAGAGGAGCATCAGTCCCGCTGCAGAATTCATTGTATTATCGTAATGAGTTTGGTCTTCGCTGAAACATTATCTTTCTGCATGGTAACACATTATAACACCCGGCGGCCATTGTAACCACACGATCCCCATGTAGGTAACTTGGGCCCCATTCTACCCAGAATCCATCAATACGATCAAGGAAGGACTTTCTTTATGTCAACAGAGGTTTTTTGAGACAAGTGAAATCAATAAATGTGGATTCTCAAAATCTGGAATTTCTTAAATCACAGAACCAAGTTCAATTCTGTCAAAAGTTTGATTCTTCAACTTTGTACAGCATTATTCCACACGACAAACTTAAGGGAAAACTTCATTCCTTCACCCATTGGCACCTACTGTGGTCCCCTCCTTGTTAATCCATCGGTATGCGTACGAATAGGAACTTCTGCTCGGATTGGTAAGCATGGCAATTTGGCCAAGAAGTGTAAATGATAGTAGTAGTAATAGCACTGATTTACCCACCTGAACTAGAAATTAATGAAAGCAGTAAAATCTGTTTTATTAGATCTGTTCATAAAGATTCAAAGTGATAAAACAGATCTCTCAGACAAGACTGTGTAACAAGATTACTTCAACTGTCTCATTATGTCGAGCAATATTCCAGCATCTCCAGCCTCTGATTGTGGCATCTGTACCTGGTTTAAACATGTTTGATGTTCCAGCTGAACTATTTATGATTTTTATGTCCAGCAATATCTCAGCAATATCTACGAAGATTTCAAATAGCGTCATAATAATGACTCTTGCTCAAAAGTTGTTTGATCAGGGCTACAACATTCAAGGCCTCTGTAAAGCTTCAAAACGTTTTAAGCCGTGTGGAG